CAGCAGCTCCTTATCCATCCATGGAGGTCTGGCCCTCCTGCCGTACTTCTTTTTAGTCAGGATGCAACGCTCCTGAGCCCGTAGCAGGTGATCCTTGAATATGAGCCATCAGTCTTGGGCCCCCTGCCGTCTAGGACTATATCCCATGGAACCTTACTAAGCAGGTACCTGAAGAGGCCAAAGTCTGCTTTCTTGAAGTCCAGGGCAGTGAGCTTGCTGCATGCTTTTCTCACTGTCCTGAGGATCTCAAACTTGACCATCTCATGGTCGCTACAGCCAAGGTTGCCCTGGAGCATCACATTCCCCACCAGCCCCTTCCTGTTGGTGAGCATGAGGTCAAGCATGGCACCTCTCCTTGTTGTTTCTTCTATTACTTGCAAGAGGAAGTTGTCTTCCACACAATCAAGGAACCTCCTGGATTGCTTGTGCCAGGCTGTCCCGTCCCTCCAACAGATATCAGGATGGTTGAAGTCCCCCATGAGGACAAGTGCATGTAAAAATATTTTTTATTTTTTCTCTTTTCATACCTGAAGTATCTGGTGCTTTTGTGGTGCTACTGGATCCAGAATCACAGAATGGTTGGGGTTGGAAACGACCTCTGGAGGTCATCTGGTCCAGCCTCCCTGCTAATGCATTGTCACCTAGAGCCAGTTGCCCCAGACCATGTCCAGATGGCTTTTCAATATCTCCAAGGATGATCATATTACAAGTATTACAAAGTATTCCAGCAGCATAGGAACATCATTGCATTTCGAACTTTTAATTTCTTAATTTAACGGCCAACTTCAAAATGTATTTAACATCTGAACATACAGACAGGGAACAAATGACTGTGTTTTGATACCCGAACAAGACTTTAAAATGGCTTGCATATCTGGTGGCCAAGTAACTTGAAATGATGTATAGGCTCCTAAATACTAATGACACTCTGAAATTTTCATAATTTGAAGTATTCCATAGAAGTATTGAACAGGTGGGTTTGTTCCTTTTGTGTGTGCAGTATTATAATTGCTTATGCCCTTTCTGCTTCCTCTAAGAGTGCAAGGAATACACAACAGGCTAATCTTCAGATGTTAGCACAACCTTTTTTTCCCTTTGGAAAGTAGCTAACAAAAAAACCTGTTTCTCCTCTGGATAATGAAATTCGACTTCTTTCTTAATACAAGTTTTAGCATTTTAATACTTCTCTTGCCAAGTCTCCCATCTTAGCTAGGGCATGAATTGCTAATAGTGTAAAATCAAATCTTGTGTATTGGGCTTTTCTTTGCTTTCAGAAATATTAAAGACTGTCAGTCATAGGTTCATTTTCTTTGCCTTCACAGAATGTCTTTAAAAATGCTAGGTCATCAGACCATTGAACTGGCTTAATGGTTTGGAGACTTAATTTTGACATCAATAAGTTTCCTCTGTTGCAAAATACCATTTTGCAAGAGCTTGTCTACTTAGGTTTATTTTCCCCATGTCCTCTCCCTTTAGTCCAAGGTAGCTATTCCCTCTGGTGCTTGACTTGAACTAGGTAGCAACAAAGAGCAAAAAACATTTCAGCAAGCCATCCCTTTCAAAACATAGTTGTTACCTTCTGAGACTTAAGATTTTTCTTGAGAATTTTGGTATCTGTTCAAGAATCTGGAATCTGTGAGCTGCTAATTCCAGTTCTTCTAGGTGAGCTTCCATAGTATATCCTAATATTTATGTATTCCTATATATTGTACTACCATTCAGATAATAATAACAATGATGACCTTTCTGATAAAGCAGCTTGAAACTTTGTTATAATTTGGAAGTTTAATTTTTTCCAGCTGTAAAACCTTCTGGGCAATTTACAAGTAAATGTTTAGCAAATCCCTTTCTGAGACACTCTAAATTTGCATTTTTGATCTGTTTTCTCCTTCACTACTTTTAGTTGCTTTCTGCAGTTGAGCATTCTCTTTTTGGCTAGTCTCTGGGCTCCATCTCATATATAGGAAGTTATCTGCTACTCAGCAATGAGACTAAAGTAATGAAACTGCTACTTTACTGCCCATTATTAATAGGCTTATACTACAGGGACTTTTGAAAGGAGATTAAGGACTATTAATCACAGACTGGTGTCTGTGACGATATCGAATGCACTGGTGAATACTGCTGTTGCTTAGGATCACGTTGGAGTTCTGTTTATAGATGTCAGGTTATTGGGCTTGTCTTTGGTAGAGAATTGAATAGATTTTATAATCTCTGTCATGTCTGAAATTGAAGTTCTTTTAGTCCAGAATTTTTCGCTTATAAAAGAGATACTAACCTAGCAGAAGGCTGAGAAAATGTGTCTGGTTTCTGCTGCTGTTCCACACCGCAGCTGCCTGATCCTACCTCACTCATCTTTCACCTCTATTCTGGCACACATTTGTTTGTCCCGGTATTGAGCTGAGTGAAAAGCTGAGTCAACAAAACAAAAAAAAGAAAGAAGTTTCTGCTGCTTTAGAAAGCAGAAGCAACTGAAACGAACACCAGAACCAGGACAGTGGAGAGGTCAGGGAATGGAGAGTGTCAGCCAGTCAGGAGTGAGGCTGGATTAATGTGTCTGACTGTCACATACATCATTCTGGTAAGTCTTTGAACTATAATGCTGTGCTATAATATGTCTAAAGGCCCTACATGATCAATTCAGAGTGGGCATTGAATATATTCAGACGAAAATCGATTGCTTATTTATGATACTGTTGGTGTAAATCTTTATGCTGCTTAAATGCTGTTATATATAGTTATTTTAATTTCATACAGACAGTATGTCAGTGATGTGTTTATTTAATACTATTTCTAAAGGCATATTTATGCTCTCTGAGCTCTGAATTGTTACAACCCATTCCCGTACTAGACACATGAATTACTAGACACATGTAATAACAAAATTATCATTTGACAACGATTACTAGGCTTGCTGTTGAAACAGGGAGAATAATGCTAAGTGTGCATAGCAAGGAGATGACTTGCTGTAAATCTCAAAGATAACTAATTAGATCTCATTTGATAATGTGCATGGGTTGAGCAATGTTCCATCCCAGCTGGCAGTTGAAGTAATCTCCTGAACTTGTCCTGTGAGCTGAAAAGAGTTCATGAGCTTTGGCTCCTAATTTCTGGTGGGCTGAACTACACGTAGAATACTTTGAAACAACTGTGTCTGTGTTTTGAGATCATGATCTTCTATTTGGGAGCTAATGCTGCTGAACTTCAGATGAGGCTTAGGATCTTCAGCTGTTTGTTTACTTCTGAAAATACTGTCTGGTATTTTGATGCAGGGAAACCATGTGATCCAGTCTGAATGTCTGTGTTGACTATCACTGGGAGTCTAGCCCTGTGTTTATAAGGATGCAGTATTATCCTTTAGGAGCACACTACAGAGAAAGTGAGAAAATGATAATTGTTTTGAAATGCAATTCAGATTTAATCTATTTTTTTTTTTTTGTTAATGTGCACCATTACTTTGTCTTGAAGAAGTTGGAATGTAGGTTATAAAGTACAGATTAAAAGCAACAAAAATGCATTTTAGAAGCCAATTTTTCTTTCTAGAAGCTAATAACTTCCTATCAACTAATAAATAAAATTAGTACAAGTAATGCGGTATCAGTAAATACTTCTGGTTTTGTGTTTAAGCAACCCAGTCCCAACCGGAGAGAGGACAGGCCTGTCAGCTTCTATCAGCTTGGATCAAACCAACTTCAGCCTAATGTAGCATCCTTGGCAAGAGATGCAGCAAACATTGCTAAGGATAAGCAAAGAGGATTTATGCCAAGTATATTACAAAATGAAACATATGGAGCAATACTCAGTGGCAGTCCACCTCCCATTCAGCCTGCAGTACCTGTTACAAGTAGCGCACCTCCTCTACCTCCAAGGAATATTGGCAAAGGTACTAACACCAGAGTATCACTGTATGTTAGAAGAATGGGATCATAACTTTTTAAATTATTGTTACATTTTTAGGTTTTCTTTTACAGCTATTTTTGCACAGGTAAGGATTGGAACAGTTTATTAATGACTTCATTTTTTAGATGCAACAGTGTTCGGGGAAAACAATGCCCAGACAACCTCGATAGAGTTAAGCAATTTACTAAAAGGAAGGCTGCAGGCAATTTAGTTCAGCAACTTTGTTTGTTTGTTCTTCATCTTTTCATACTTCTCTTTTGAAGATATCATTGTCAGAGTTCAATTTAAACATACAGTTTCAATAGCATCTGGCTGCTTTTGAAAATCATTTTAAGACCTGGGAGAATGGAGAGCTTCCAAAGTTGTCTTTTAATAAGTATATGCTTCAAGGTCATTGAAGTAAAAGTGTTATGATGTGGAGGACTGGGTGATTTTAGTGAACTGCTATCTGACTGAAAATGTAACTGCCAGTTACTAGTTATACCCTGATCAGAAGAACAATGTAAAATGTACGTCTTATTCTCATTCAGAAGGGTTGTGTGCTTGCAAAATCTACCATTAAAGCTGATGCTGTGAACTTCATTTTAAACTTCATATATAATCTGTTTGGAACATATTAAAGCATAGAGAAGTCTGTATAGGTCTTCTCTGTACAGTAGACGTTTGGTGTCTTTCATTGTTTTAATATCTTTATTAATCCAGTAGCTTTTATGGATGCTGAATTTCTGTAAAGTTCAAGAAAAAATGACTGTGTAAACATATGATTTTCTATTGTGCTGTAATTCAGACTCTGTAAGAGGAGGTACGAGCAGGGGAATGTTCCAGGCATACATGAGTGGCTTCTGCCTTTGGGAGCACTGTGCAGAGGTCAATGCAAGACTTCATACACCAGTGATTGTGTCTGAGATTGAATACAAATTGAACACCTGTGTGGTATGAAAAGTCTCACAGGATTTGCTGCAGCATAAAAATTGGATTAAAATATCACAGAACAGTTGAAGCAGGAAGGGACCAGTGAAGGTTATCTAGTCCAACCTCCTTGCTCAAGCAGGGTCACCTTGGGCAAAGGACAGCATGGTATTGGGTTACTTCAAAAAGGGTAGCATGGGGTTGGGGGAAGTTTAACAGCATATAAAACTTAACCAAAGTGGGATTTCTTTCATCTAGTATTTTTGCATGAAGTCCAGGCTTACTATTTAGATACTATTTGCTTGATGGAAAGGAATGTTTCCCCCACCAAACAAGAAGATTCACCCAAGGAACTTGCATACTCTGGTTAACTGTTAAATTTCTATCTCTAAATTAGTAATACAATTGGATAGTTAAAAAGACTGGTTTACCCTTTCATATTATTTTAATCATGGACAACCATACTATTTTACCTACTGTTTGCCCATGATTAAATGACACTTTTCAAAGAGTGTCATTTTAATTTCATTCCCAACCCCAGACTTCTTGGCACCAGTATAGTGCAACTCACGCCAAGAAAGCATGCTGCCTGGTTTAGATTATTAGCTCATATTCTTTATTCTAGCAATGTATTAACCTGCTGTTTTATATTCTTAGTTAAAAGCTGTAATGGTATCATCAGTCTTAGCTTCTTGTTGATTGCTGATGTTGTTGTTATGTTTATGGTGTATTATTACTCATGGTGTATTATTACTCCTTTATCTTCCTAGCTTTAGGCTGTTCTCCAAGTCTTCTGAGCCTTTTATGCTTTTCCCTGCAACCTGATATTTATTCATACCTTACTCCTTTTCATCTTTTCTTAATATGATGCTCATGTGCTGAGTAGGGAAAAGTGGCATGCTATGTGCAAAATACTGACTTTATGAAGAAACCCTGTAGTTGTTATGAAATGGTAAGGCAGCTCTTCAGTCTGAGCATGGAGTCATTTAGGAGGCCCCAAAGAAGTTACACCTTGTAACTGTTTAATGACTAGTTATTACAGTTTTTTGTTTGGGTGAAATTCAGAATTACATTTTTTTGTCAATTCCAAATCAAACCTGATGTTTCATTTTGAGTCAGCAATGTCTGCTAATGCTTACGTGAGAGTGAGGTCGTTTTCTTGCAGTACTTGAGAAGATCACAGGTATCAGTCAGGGATTAAAAATGATTACAGCTGTCAGAGATTAAAGAAAGTAGCAAGACTTGGCCTTCTGTTCTCTTGTTGAGAAATTTCTGCTTTTTCAAGCGCTGGGGTATTTTAAAGTAATGGCTGGAGACAAATTCTACTTACGTAAGGTGTTAGTAAGACTTCACCCGGAAACTTCTATGTAATTTTTTACACCAAACCCTGATTTCTGCTCTGGTACTCCAGCAGAATGGCAGTGGTTTCTACTGCTGAACATAGTAGTCAAGCTGCACCTTTCCTAAAAGCATGGGTGTGAAATGAACACTTCGTGCTTAGGGTAAGCAATAATAATAATACAGTATTTTCCTCTCTTTTTAGTTCAGCCTTCAGTTCTTGGCAGTGGTATTCAGACAATTTCTTCATCTAATGCAATGTGGAAGACAAATTCTTTAGGAGTGGAAAGTATAAGCAGGCAGAGGTCTTCATCAGATCCACCAGCTATTCATCCCCCTGTGCCGCCATTGCGTGTAACATCTACAAGTATGTTTCCACTTTCCCCTGTTTTCCCTTCTGCTGTATCTAATCATAATTGGCTTATTTTTCCATTTCCACAACTCATACTTCCTCTTTCGATGACTGTAGCTTTGGCCTATCGTTCCCATCCAGTAACTTTGTATGAACTGTTTTCTCTGATGATCCAGTGAGGACTGTATGGTGTAGGGCAGGGTCAACAGGAAATGCTGTCTGTTATTAGAGCTAGAGAGCTCTTCACTTGATGTATCTAGTTTCAACGTTGCAATTCTTAGTACTTGTAAAGATGAGTGGTAATGTATAGGCCTAGGGCAATGTCTCCACATTGTGCTTGATTCTTGCAGACCATAGGAATGCAAAAAGGTGGTTTAATGCATTGCCAGTTGCTATTGCCATGGTTTCAAGAATTCAATAGAAATTTTAATTAATTGCTAAGCCTAATGCGAAGTTAGATTTTTAATTGTAGCAGGATTTTAAGAAAAGACATTCCTCTAAGTAAAATTTCTTGGGTGTTATTCAGTCAGTTACTTTCCCATAAAACACAAACTGAAAGCTTTGATTGAGCGAACAATACTAGCACTTTACTGAATACATTCTGATCTACTATTTTCAAGAATATAACTGACTTCAGTGAGAATTTTCTTTGCTTGTACTTTAATGCTTTGATGAATTGAAGTACTTGTGGGCATTCTGACTGTGACTAGGTAGAACAAAATTTAACCTCTTTCCAAAGAGGTCCTCCTTCTAATGGAAGGATTGCTTTCTGCTTAAGTGATTGATTACATGTAGTAAAGCATTTTTCTTGGATGGGGGTAAATCCTGTAACAGGGAAAACTGTGATGAGAACCCAAGAAGCAAAATAGTACATAGAAATTTAATTCCATTTCACTGTTTAACTTTCTTCTATAGATGTGCTTTCTCCAGCACCACCACCTCCAGTTGCAAAGACTGCCAGCATTATAGAAGCTTTGAACCAACAATCTAAACAGCAACCACCTCCTCCACAAACTAAGCCAGTCCCACCACCACTGCCCCCACAGCCTCCTAGTAGAATCTCTCAAAGAAAGCCTATTTCTGGGTAACTGATATCATTTTGGTATTTAATATATTTCATAATTATTAGTAACTTTTCAAGTTTATAGTATATAACATGCAAGTCATCTGTAAAGCATGCATACCATTGCCAATTATGCGTTCTAGCGTATGGTAGTGAACAGAAGGCAGATACTAATGGAGAAGATTACAAGGATTCCCACATGAAAAACAAGACAGCCTAGTGATTTAAGATTGTATGACATGCAGAATATCTACAGAATGCTTAGCTGTGATGGAAATAAGAAGCCACAAAGAATAATCCATTGCTTATTCTCATCTAATAACAAAGAAGAAATAATGGGATCTTATGTCTGATTGTGCCATTTATTGTACACATGTTTGCATAGGTTCAGTTCATTCATGGCAGGAGTAGAGGGATCTGGAACAGAAAATATTATTTTTAAATTTGCAGGAAACAAAGTTAGGAGAGACAAGTGTACTGGAAAACATGATTATATCCAAAGTAGCCTTGAGAAACTGGAGCAGTAGTCAAGGGAGAAGAGAGGTGACATTCAGTAAGCAACACTTAGTACTTAAGAACAATCAACTACAAAAATGAAGCATGGAAAGCAGCAGAGTATGGTTAAGCAGAAGTCCTTAAGAGCAGGATCTGCAAGGACATACTGAATCATAAATAAAAGTAAGTCAGACACTCATGCTGTTGTGGAAGAGTCAAAGAGGAATAGTATTGTTTGATTATAGCCTGCAAACTCCATAAATTAATCCTTCCAGTTGACTCAGCATCAGTAATGCCTCAGCTGGACTGCTGTGTTCCATTTTTGGCATTTCAGTAAAATAAAGATAGAAAATAGTGAGGCAGAAACCAGGGGATATCAGTAAGATAATGAGAAGCATAGAAAATATGACCTGTGAGAGAGATTTGGAAGAAATAGGATTCTCTTATATTTTTAAAAAAAGAAATTGTAGCATAGATATATGCCTTCAAATGTGTACAAAAAGAAGACTTTTGTTTAAGTTGTGGCAAGAATAATATAGTTAGACATTAGGGAATGTTTTCCAAAGGTAAGCAAAGGGAAATATTGTAGTAACTTGTCTGGGAATATTTGGATTCTCTCACACTGAAAATTTGGCAGAGTACAGCCTGTACAAACTTAAATAGTTACAAGATACAGGGACATGTATGTGTATATTTGGGATAAATAATATATGTGGTTGATCCTTTGTGAATGAAAGAGGTAGACAACCTTTGAGCTCCCTTTCTAGTCCTTTGATTGCATACCGCACTTAAATAAAAGGGAGGAGTAACTTGCTGAAGCTTGCTATAATGTGCAGTCTTATTTTAAGAATTTTGAAATAGGAGTGAAAAGAACTTCAGAACTTAAGAAAAATAAAATCTGCTCTACACACATTGCAGTAACTGAATCTGTATTATTCTTCTGCCTTAGGTTTTTAAATTAAGTGCAACTTACGATTGGCATAATCAAAAATAGAAAGCAAAATAGCTGTCACCAGAATGTACTGCAGACGTGGTATAATTTGGAAAATACCCTGTATTGTTGTGTTTCAAGTTCTTGATTGTTTCTTAAATGAATGAATTTCTAACTTTCTGCACAGGACTGAGAAGTCATCTGGCTTAACTAACAAAGGGCAGTCCAGAGGACTTGGGTCTCTACAGCAAACTGGTAATCATAGCTTAGAGATTTATGTTATTGTAATTAAGATAGCATTATAACAGTCTAAGGGACTGTGGGATTTTTTTATTTACCTTACATATTTAAATGCATTCAGAACCAGCATTGTTCTTGTTTCTCCTCTTGCTTGCATAGGTCCTGGTGCCTCAAGCTATTTTGCATGAACAGAGCTATGTGCCAATTAATGTAAATAATGGGGCCATGTAATAAGAAACAGAACCACAGAATGGTTGAGGTTGACAGGGACCTCTGAAGGTCATCTGGCCCAACCCCCCTGCTCAAGCAGGGCCACCCAGAGCAGGTTGCCCAGGACCATGTCCAGATGGCTTTTGTGTATCTCCAAGGAGGGAGACGTATAACATTACAATAACGTCATCTGAAAAATGTCCAAAGTAAAGTTGGTGTGGATTCTGTGGTGGCTGAAGTGGAATTTCTCCTACCCAGTTTCCCCTTCCACTGTATGTATTTTGTTCATTGGTTCTTACTTTGATTCTTTTTTCCTTCCCCTTGACATACCCAAGGGGAATTTGCTAATCATTATCTGCCATCTGTGTCAGGAGTCTCCTGTGAAGGATACAACATCTTGGTAATGATGGTCTTTACATGGAATGAAGGCTTCTAAAAAGCACACAGTCTCTAGTGAGCAAATGGGGAAATGGGATACTTGGTTCTGCTCTTGTCTGGTCTTTAGCCTTTTTTTGTCTTTTAGCATATGTGCAGTATGAAAGGCCTTAGCTAATTGTCTTCGGGAAGAGAGGCTTTTCTTCGTAAGAAAAAGGATAGAAAAGTTCTTCAGTTCTTTAGTAAAAAAACATCAAAAAATTAAATCCTGATGGGATATAAAATTATTTGCATCCTTTAAAGAACCATAGACCCATAGATTTGGTTTCAATTTGTATCATCACTCTCACATTTATTTTCTTTTTTTAAAGCATGCCTAAAATTTACTTGTTTTACTCACCTTAGCAGCAGGAGACTCATCTTCCGTATGTGAAATTCCAGTAACACAAACCAGTTCTACAACAAATACTTTGGCACAGATCCAGCCACCAGCGCCAATGCCAAGGAAATCACAAATAGTAAGTTGGCAAAATCTGGGGTTTGATTTTATTACATCTTCTGCATTCTGTCAAACACTGTTGACATAAGAGTGTATGCTGTTATGGAGAAAATGTGAGAATCATGAAAAATACAAAGCCTGTATCCTGTGTTAAATGTGTGGGTGACTTATACTAAGTATTTGTGAAATCTTTGCTTTTTTTATTTTTGCATTTCCTAAATGATAGTATGTGATTTTAAATAAATAATAACTTTTAAAAAGAACACCAATAAAAAACCAAAGAGAAACCAAAGAAAAGAAATACGGATTCTTTGGTTATGTCCAGATGTGACCAACACAATCCACAGAACATATGGTTTGACTTGCTCTAGGTAATTAAGCTGCTTAAGTCACTTGTAGGTGAGCTTGGTGAGTCACTTGCAGATAATACGTAACTTCATTAAAAAACTTCAGTGAAGTAAGTAATAACGAAGCTTGTGTGCTTACTTTTATAATGGAAGCAGATGTAGTTGTTCACATAGGTAGATCAAATGGCTTCAGACAAGACTAGTAGGAGTCAAGCTCAAACCAAAAGAAATTGGCCCTTTGCGCAGTTGGTTCTCTTTGAATGTCTTTGTGACACATTCACTGGGTGGCAGGAGAGAAATGTCTTGATATGTACACAGAAACCACATCTGACTTGAGACACCCTCAACCAGAAGGTGGTTGAAAGGTGAAGAGGAAGGCTGGAAGTATTGTATATTCTTCTTCTCCACCTCCCCCAGCCTTACAGTGACTGTTAAAAAAAGATATGCTGGATTCAGATGGACCCTTGATTTGATTGTGTGGCTTTTTTATACTCTTATTTATTATTTGTAAACTAGGACCATGAATGGTACCACACATATTAGTGTCAATACATGTATTCTTATACTGGTGTAGGTAAAGGGATGTATTTCCGGATGTCAGTTGAGCTGTAAATCATGTGTGGTTCATGTAGGTCTTTGGTCCTTGTTCCAATTTTATGTTGCTTTCTTGTGTGATAGACATAAAACATCCATGTGCTTGATCATGACAGTATTTCTTTGCAGTAAGCAAATCGTGGTATAGAGGCCATACTTTCCACAATGCTGTATGTGACTGGGTCTGGGCTATTTCATGCTTTACACTCCATGTAGGAGCATGGTTCTGTAGGTAAATAACAAACTGAGAGGTAGGAGCTGTTCCTGGCTCTGCCATTGTCTTATTAATGGGCTGTAAGGAAAAGAGCTGCCTTCTTCAGTCCTCTGTCTCTCTCCCTTCAGCCATCTTTTCCTCAACCATGATTACTGAAGTAGTAACTCTCCAGGAGGGACTTCTGTGTTTGTGTGCATAGACTTGCATGTTTGTCTTGAGCTCTTAGAATTCCTATTAGCTGTTTCTCATCTGATAATACTGAAAAGCCACAGAGACATCTGGAATTCATCTTGCATTAGCTGGGAGTACGAAATCTGTTTTCTTGTCTCCCCACTCTTGTTCAACCAAGTCAGTGTCTTGCATCAAAATAACTTTCATGTTTTAGGTGACAATAAAATTAAGTGGTCTAAGAGGTGTAAGTTTGAGTATGTGTCCCTCAGTGCTTACATGCACTGAGGGAATTGCTATACTTTGTGAAGCTGTTGGACCCTGATCACAGTTTCTTTTGTGTGTTTTGGGATTCATGTGTGAGCATGGGCCGTGTCCTTTCAACACATCTGTTGGTTCTGAAACAGCTCATTACCTGGCTTTCTGTATAAATTAAAGTTGTAGTAGCTTATCTTTCTTGTTCTTTCCTTTTTTGTTCTATAGGATAAGTTGTTTTATTTATAAGTGAATGGGCAATGCTGGCTAGTTTCTAAGACAGTCTCCACTGCTTAATACTAATTGCATATTACAGGAAGAACAAATCTGTCTCTCCAGATATCTCTGGGGCTTCAGTAGGGTGAATTTTGTGAGATTGAGAGAATCAGCTGGATCATTCTTTTCTGTCACAGGAGAGAGAAGTAAGGGAAACCTGGCTCAGTGTGTGCTAGTTAAGGTGCTTTAGCTAAATCAATCTAGCTAAAGCATCTTAGCTGAGATTTAGTCAAGGGCCCCTCAGCTAAAGAGCTTTAGCTAGATCAGTCTAGCTAAAGTACTTTGGCTAAATCGTTCCATTTAGCGTTATACTCCAGCCTTTTTTGCTAAGTCTTTACCCTGTCAGAGAATCCAGAGGGCAGCCCAGATTTAGGAAATGAGTTCAGAAGTGCTCCTTGAGTAAACAAAAAAGCAGGTCTCATTATGCATGCACATGTACCCAGTGGCTTATCTCCTATACAGTGCATTTGCCCAATAGCCTATTTTTCAGATTGAAATACCTTTTTCTCTTCTCTTCTCTTCTCTTCTCTT